CCAACTATAGTTGGAATCGCGGAACATTGCTTAACAATATACACCCGCCAATTTTGACAATCGGCCTGCCAGAATGCGCTTAAATCACAGAAATTCCTCAAAGATACATGCTAAATGATCCTTAGCCTGCTACGCGTGAAGAAGGCGGCTGGCTGAACCGTTGGCGGCTGCGCATACCATGACTCACCCGCGATGTCAACAAGCGTAGTTTCGCAGCCTGTCTGCGCATTAAACTTGCTGCAGCCAATCAGCGCAGCCGCCAATGGTTCAGCCAGCCGCCTTCTTCACGCGTAGCAGGCTAACGATCATTTAGCATGTATATTTGAGGAATTTCTGTGATTTAAGCGCATTCTGGCGGGCCGATTGTCAAAATTGGCGGGTGTATATTGTTAAGCAATGTTCCGCGATTCCAACTATAGTTGGAAAGTGGCGTCACCTGCAGGAACACCGGAGTTGTAACTGATTTAAAACGGTTAGTTGTGGAAACTGCGGCGGCGACTGCCGGCGAGTTCGACACCATGTTGTATATATAGTCAATGGCGCCTCGTGTGTGCTGTACGTGCGGGCTTGATCTTGCTGCCAGTGGCTAAGACATGTGTCTACAGTCTAGGATAGCTAGAATTTATAGAAATCAGGAGTAGATAATACAATTAATAGGGAAGGAGTGTGACATCAATAAACAAGGGAAATTCGTTATTTACTAGCCTTATAATACCTACGATTTACTACGCATAACTCATCAAACTTGAGCTTAAATCGTACACAGTACATTCGCTTAGCATCGTGCGAAATCGTTTCCTCGTATACACAAGCAATTCGGAGATACAGACTAAAACGTACGACACGATTATCCATTCTTTGGCCATCAATCCGAGCCGATTGCCCGCCTATATTCAAACAAAAGGCAGCTACCTAACCACAGCTTGCTAACTCGGCGGGCAATGTGGGTCGCTGGGAGATTTGAACCCGATCTGCTGCTGATTGCGGTTGGCGTGCGTGCGTGGGGGCATTCCAACTGTATGCCGGTATGTAGCTGTGTACCGGGTCAAAGGTTATCTCGCCGAGTGTTGCGTTCATGCGTTGATGCCTAATCTCCCAGCGAGCCACATGCCTCGCCGAGTTAGCAAGCTGTGGTTAGGTAGCTGCCTTTTGTTTGAATATAGGCGGGCAATCGGCTCGGATTGATGGCCAAAGAATGGATAATCGTGTCGTACGTCTTAGTCTGTATCTCCGGATTGCTTGTGTATACGAGGAAACGATTTCGCACGATGCGAGGCGAATGTACTGTGTACGATTTGAGCTCAAGTTGGATGAGTTACGCGCAGTAAATCGTAGGTATTACAAGGCTAGTAAATGACGAATTTCCCTTGTTTATTTATGTCACACTCCTTCCCTATTATCTACTCCTGTAGAAATGTAACTCAAATCGTTCGCTCCATATGATAGTTAGTACACGTTCCAACGGTCATAGCATAAATTGCCATAATAGCGTATGCGGCGGGAGTGGGCGGGGTCTATTTTTATCCTCCAATCACAGGTCGGAGCAATTCCTCTGTTTAGACGCATATCGACCAGGTTCTCCGACTGTTACATGTCGTAGGATGTAGTGTTAAGCGAGAAGGGAACTTGTGGCTAGTTGTAGATGAGCATTTGGACGGCGTAAATTTACAGGAAATTGTCGGTGAAAGAGAGAGTATAGAAACATTTTTCAGACTTTGAACTTCCGACAGTAGGGGGGGCCTATAGAAGACTTTGGTAGTAAATAGATTGCGTATTTATTTAGCATTATATTTTATTGTACGCTGTGGCTACGGCCTACGGCCCGGTACGGCAGCCGTACCTTAATGTCTCGAGGTGGGCCAGATTTCGAAATAACGCCTTGGGAAAAAAATTCACGATTTGAGTGTTTAGATGAGCTAGAACTCTAACCCTAACACCAAAAAGGGGCTTCATCGAACGACGGCTGCCGTATCTCCAGCCACCGAGTTTATTGAAACGCTGCAAGTGCCTGTGATAGACATAGGTGCCCAAGGGACTCTCATTAATTAAGCTTCTTCTTTTAAATTTGTGCATATGTGTGTAGTTATTGCGTAAAACAAAGTTAAAACAGTTTTGATGCAACTATTTTACTCTAAGCAAAATGAAAGTCCTATTTCAGTATTTCTAATTCTACAGACTGTGTACAACTGTAGCCTAGTCTGTTACTGTTAGTGTTACTCTGTGGTGCAGTTACAGAAAATAGTAGTAATACTATTAGTATTACTAATACTATTACTTTGCCGTCTTACTACGGCGTATTACTACGGTTTATAATATTACTTATTATTAGTATTAGTACGGCGTTGGCAGCCGCGTAGGGGGGAATCATTAAAGAGGTGGCTTCGTATATTATTAATTAGGTGGGCTGTGTGCATGATGATGTAACACACAATGTCAGACTCACTCTACCCAAAATTCACCTCACTCCGTCTTTCCTTTCTCATGCGCTTTCATTCGCTTACTCTATGGTCTACCCTACTCACTAATGTCATGACAGTGGGACTATGCCTTCCTCCTTCATCGTCACTCATTTATTCCCATAATCTTTCTTTCATTTTCATGCTCTCTGTCCTTCCCTCCAATGCAGATGACCATATGAATGGCATTTACAGGAAGTTACCGGCAATAATAGGCAAAAATAAATTGAGACTTTGGTAGTAAATACATTCCGTGTGTATTTACCAATTTTTTTTATTGAAACATTCCAAGTGCCTGTGCTTCTTTCCACCTGTCTTTTCCTCTATCTCATCCCTGCTCTCTCTCTTTCTCTCTCTCTCTCTGTCTTTCTCTCTTTCTCTCTTGCACTTCTCCTGCATTAATGATTAGCCTTATATATTTACTAATTTCACAATCATAAATATAAATTTAACTGAAAAGTGGAGGTAAACCATTTCATCAATTGTGTTTCCTTTGCACAACAAACTAATAAACAAAAGCAATAACAAAAACATATTTGTCGACCACTGGCAGACAAATATAATTTTCTATTGTATTACTACATCCATACAGTACACCTTCCCCTCCTCACACTGGTTAGTCGTTTCTGTTGATCCATTTAGTCCTCACAACAGCAATGAAGATAGGGTAGGGTAAGGTAAGGAGGATAGGGTTTTTGATAAGAATGAATATGCCACCAAATTGATACACCTTCCCCTCCTCACACTGGTTAGTCGTTTCTGTTGATCCATTTAGTCCTCACAACAGCAATGAAGATAGGGTAGGGTAAGGTAAGGAGGATAGGGTTTTTGATAAGAATGAATATGCCACCAAATTGGGTATTTATTATATAATGATTATTTACTGAATGCATGTTACAGAACCAGGATGAAAAGGCAACTAGATGGATGTAGTAATGGGAGCAAAAGGTCAACAGAAGCAGTTGATACCACACATCTGTATGACAAGCCTCCAAATTGGACATCAAATGCATGCCTGGGAGTTGCAAAGGAAAGGCTGATTATGGAGAATGTAAATCCAGGCTATTTCAGTACAGATCCATACTTCCCTATTAAAGTGCTTAACTATAGCCTCGTAGTTTACACGGCGACACTCACAGTGCTGCTACTATACGTATCATTATCAGTGACAATTCCATTCGCATCTGGAGAGTATTCTTTTCTTCAGTACCTTGCGTGGTACTTATTCTTCTCCGTGTTGCTCAACTGGATGCTAATATTGAAGAACAGCAGTGTCTTCACAAGTAATCAATTTGTCAAGACTTCTGAAGAAGGTGACAAGTACTGTGATATCTGCAAGCATTGGATTCCACCAAGAGGTCATCATTGTGTCCTCTGCATGAAATGCATTTTAAGACGTGATCACCATTGCTACTTTACAGGAACATGCATAGGATTTCGCAACCAGCGCTATTTTGTGGTGTTTTGCTTTGACGTATCAGTTAGTTGTGGCCTTGGATGGTATTTCCTTATGTTGTACCTGGATTCAAATTTCAAAACATTTTGGTCAGAAGACAACTATCATTATCTTCTTCCCCTGACTTTTGTCGAGTGGTTATTGAGATGGGGTGGGATACAGGCGTTTGATCTCTTTCTATTGACTCTAGCCTGGTGGTCATTTGCAACATTTGTAACAGCTTTGGTGTATTTCTCACAGCAAATGTTTGTTATAGTTAGAGGTCAGACCTCTTACGAATACTCTCGAGATGTGCATACTTACAGAACCGTTTTGTGTAAACATCTAAAAAGTGTTTTTGGACCTTTCTGGGTGATTAACTTTGCATTTCCTTTGTTCTTCATTCAACAAGAAGGAAACGGCATTAGCTATGTTGCCAACTTAAAGGAAGTGTAGTACAACAACATACTGCGTTATCAGTTGAAATTGACTGATGTGATTAGGCTTCAGGTATTGCTCTGAAGGCAGGATATCCTAGTAGTCCAGAGAGTAAACGCACACGGCATTGACTGCAAGAACACATGCACCCTATGTTGCCTAATTATCTGATGTGTTACACACCGGATCACGGCTAGCCTGCTCAATAAGTTAGGAGCTGTCTGCATAACGTTTATGCGAGTGAATCAATGCCCCACTTAAAAAGCTTGCTTTCTCATTTAAAATTTTTTGCTAGGGTGACTTCGTGTTTTGCTATCCTAATTTATTGGTCATAATTTTTTATGAGCAACTGTTCGTGACATTCGTGTTCGAAATGCTTGGGATGATTGTACATGATAATACTAGAGTTTTATATATAATGATTAGTCATAAATTTGACCATTTTACATGATTTTAGTATGTATTTATTAAATTTACATAAATTTTCTTCTAAGTGTTGCTTCAATGATTATTAGATGTAATCAGTTTCTGTCTATATGTATTACAGTAAACAATTATTTTGAATTTTTATACAATTGAAAGGATATAGTCTATCTCAATCTTGCTGTATATTTCCTAAAATGAGATAACAAGGGGTTAGGCTGTAGATCAAAGAACCACATAGTGCTGTTCATTGCTCACCGAAGTTGCCTTCTTCCTAGACTTCACTAGCTTTCAAAATTTTGGCCAATGTCACATGGTAGAAATGGGATAATATTTCGAAGGGCGAATATTTCCCCTTAACCTGAGGCATGTGAGGAAATGCGGGGTTGCGGCACAAATGAAAACGGCTTGAGCTATGCTCTTGATATTCTGTATATAGAGTCATGGGCAGAAACGCCATCACATGGGCAACATTGGAGATCACGAGCCAAGGGGTAGACCAATAAATTGTGCCCTAAAATTCTTATATTCTGATGTTATTTTAGGCATAAAATAACATCAGAATATACACATTTTTAGGGCACAATTTATTGGTCTAGCCAGGGGGCAGTGAAGCAAAGGCCAGATTTAAGACATTTTTGGAGAACATGGTTTGACATGAGCATATGGTTGCCACCACAGTACTCAGAAATTGTTATTTTTACCTGGGTAGAAATAATTTAACTATGGTAAAATTATAGGCTTTTTGACCCAATTATGCGAAGCCTTGTTACACGTAATTTAACCTCGAATGGAATTCGTTTACTGCGGATAAATCATCAATTTTTATCCAACCAAAAGCTGTGTTACATATCAAAGCTTATGATTAGCTAAAAGTGATATAATCAAGAGCGTACTAGTATTAGCTCTTGATATAAATCAGGTAAAAATAATTATTTCTGAGTAGGATGGCCAACCACGCGCGCGTGCAGAAATATACACACGGTGACAAGCATTCATGCTTTTTGCACGGACATAAAAACTCAGTATCAGGTACTCGACCATTACTCGGCAATTTAGTAAAGGCCCCCGCTGACGGTGCGCATTGGGCGCGCGCCAACGGCGCACCGTGTGCGGGGGCCTTGTAGTAGTAGTAGTAGTAGTAGTAGGTGTTTGTACGCATCACTCGAGGGGGAGGGGCATGCAGCTGTATACACTGACCAGACCATTCATGGGTTTCCCCAGCTGCAAAACGCGTACACACCGCCGGGCAGCTGTTTTTGCATGCCCATCAGGCTCGAATTTACCTGTGAACCCGTGGCTCTATCGATCGTAGTTTGTATTGTACCCCAATTCTATACGACGCTCTTGGTACCATCGCTCCGACTTCTCATGTTTTAGGTCATGTGTTATAGTTCTGGCATATTAGTGTTGTGCTGCGCTATGGCAGTGCTTCTTCACATTCATCTAATAGCAGTCATCAGGATAACTCCCATTTTTGATTTCTTTTAGAAGCAAAGTTACTAAAACCATAGTCATCACAGCGTACACTATCTGTGAATCCTTAATATGGTAGCACTCTTTGCATTTAATCTGCACTGTCTTCTAACATACACTTCATTATACCTTTATTTAACACTACCTCACACTGCACGGGGCAGCCATTGAAGTCTTCTTAATTGGTTAAGACAGTTCTTTGAGGCAAATAAGTTGTAATCACACTTCCCCTCTTGCACTACGCTGCCTAACCTTTATATTTTGTTAAGCTGGCTGCTTTTATTGAATTATTACCGCTGACAGCTTCTGCACAACAAAACCGTTAGTCTCCTTTCCTATAGTAAAAGAAGTAAAGCACTGTCAAATCCTAGATTATTTGGATCATCTGGCGCGCAGAAGAAGCTACACACGAATTAAGCTACCTCGGATGGAACACTGCCCAACGCATTCCGATAACAATATCCGATTGTTGCACGCGTTACCTGTTGATGCTGGCTACTCCTCACGTCCTCACAGCTCAGAGCACACCTCCTTCACATGGGAACTCGACTTGCCATGCATGTAAACTCCATATATTGTACTTTTTTTTAATGAAAAGGAAGTCAAGAACAGTGAAGGTATAGCAATTATTCACAAGTGTACGCAAGGTTAGACCATTATCTGGGAATCACGGTTAATCTCAATTTTTGTGTGTGATTCGTGAATGGCAGTCAACCAGGAAAACCAAACTTGCAATTTTTATTAACTTTTTAATAACTCAATCATGTTCTTATACGTTATATTTAGGGCCTATGTTAACAGTGGTGAGCTAATCAGATTTAAATTACATATGACACATGTGTAAAAACATAGTTGAGTTATTAAAAAGTTAATAAAAATTGCAAGTTTGGCTTTCTTCCTGCGGGCCCTTGCGGGGTGTTGCAGCTGTCACTCATATGATATGAGTGACAGCTGCAACACCCCGCAAGAAAAATAAATTATAAAGGGTGCTGTCCGAGTCTTTTAAGTTATGCATGGTTCCTAGGTAAATTGGCAGAAATGTATTACCTAGCATTAGATGGAATTCGAATAAGATCCGCTAGAGAGTATCTCTTTCCGTATATATATATATATTGTTGTATATCTCGTGTTCTTGAGACATTAGAATAACGATTCCAACGACTGTCTTACTTGTTACATAATATATTGTTGATATAAACTTGACGTGATGCGGCCATGATGCCGAGGCGTGCAGAGGATTGACACTTTGTCTCATCTAATCACAGCCTACGCCGCACCAGACTTTGATATTTTTAAATATGGGGACCTATTGGACCACTAAATCGCCGATCTCAGGAACTAGGACATTCTGCTATGTTAGAACGGTTTCCTACGATAGAGTTTGCCATAAATAAGAAAATAACACGCTGTTTAGCGCATTGCGCTACGTCCTTCTGTTGAATTTTCGCATCTCCGTAATCAGAATAAGCCCTGCCTTCTTCGTTGATGGGCATGAATGGGGCGTCACCGACGTGACCAGTTACTGTACCAACTGTCTTTCGCCAGCCTGTTTACTTTTCGTAAATAATGAAATGCCCGGCCGATGCATTTCGCATCGAAGTGGAAAATTTTCGGCATTTTCACTCGCTGTCAGAAGTGAACATTGAAGTTTTTCTTCAAATTAAATAATTCTAAAAATCCCTAACTGCGCTACTCGATTGTTTAAGCCAATGAACGTAGAGGTGTGACGTCTTGCCCGCGCGCTTTATGCTTGGCTTAGCGTGCCTCGAAATGGATATCGGAGGCAGGCACCTCGCAACACGTGTGTTTGTTTACATATAGCTTTGTGACGTACGGTGTTTGGGAGTTCTGCGATGATAACCTCGTAATTTCTCAGAATTTCTTAAGGTGCTTGGAACATTTTACCAATTTAGTGGTGTCAGTTAGTCACGTATATGTCACAGTAAGTACTAACCGTATATGTTTCACATACGTTCACCTATTTTGCACACAGGCGGTCGATCATTGTGAAAAATTGCGTTAATATTTATTTTTATTGAGACGTTCCAAGTGCCTGTGCTTTCAATAGTCTTGTACGTCAATGCACGTGCGTCAAGAGCCACAAACTCAACACAATTTCATCTCTGTTATTGTTGACGAGTGAATACGTGATTGATCAGGGCCCGTGCATGTAAGAGGGAGACATTCTTTGGGGTTTGGAATGGACATTTCAATTGGAAGCTCTGCATAATGGACCACCAACAAGCCCTTTGACTGACTAGTCAAGAAATTCAAAGGTCTGTATGTTGCTCTTATTTAGCCGCCGATAGTTGTTATTTAGAACAAAGTCTTCATTGTTATCTTCTAAAACTACAGACCATCCGCTGAACGCTGTGGAGACATGCGCCGGGCCTCGAATTTGGCGCATGTCTCCACTGCGGACAGCGCTTCATACTTAAACATCCCCGCGGCGCGGTCGCGTGCGCATATCCCGCAGAACTGCGCGTCTCATCTGCGCGCAGCGCTCAGGATCAACAGCAAAGCTGTGACACGCAATCTTGTATCATGTTTCTCTGGATTAACACATGCGCAGTTACAACAGCGTGTCCCACCATAAGTCTCAAACCTCGACCAGAGAGACCGGGTACAAGATGGCATTGCGCAAAAGATGCGTTGTTCCCCGACCGCCGAGAGCGGTTAAGCCGCGCACTTCCGCGGGACTGGGCGCACGCGACCGCGGGGTGTTGTATGTAGCATCTCGCACTGCCCGCTATACGAATTCGCGCGCCGAAGAAGGCCGGACGCGCGAATTCGTATAGCGGGCAGCGTAACATCGCGCAGTTTTCGTCACACCTACACCGGCTCGGCTCTGGCGGCCTTGGGTGGGGGCATTTGCTGCTGCTGTTTTGCTGCTCCAGGGGCGCGCTGCAGCAGGGACCAGTATTTGGTGCTGCTGCTGGTTTGCTGCAGCAGGGGCGATGATTTCTTGCTGCTGCTGCTTTGCTGCTGCAGCAGGGGCCAGTATCTACGTGTACGTACGATTAGCTACGCGTAAGAAGTGGCACGGCCACGCCACCACGTGCTCGCACGACGTGCCGTCGTCACGGGCAGCACGGGGTGAGGTTGGTAAAAACCTGCCACGTACGCAGCCAGGCGCCACGGCGGCGGTGGTTTTGGAGATAGCATCTAGACCGCGCCCGCCCACGTGAAGCGCCGTACACATCTTCGTTAAAACCTGTGATAGACATGACGCTATACTCGGCAGTAGCCCACTTCATCGCGTAGCGGCCAATGAGCGAGCGCGTGGTCGCTGATTGACAGCATTTCTTGGGGTTTCTTGTAGGAGCCACTACGTCTTAACCTTGAGGCGCGCCACCCCAAAAAATGTTTAGGGGCCGTTTGGAGATGGCCTCTAGGCGTCGATCTCGAAATGTCGGTTGGATTCGGCCCCGTTTTCGCGGAGTTCGTTTTCAGAGCCCTGTCTAAGTTATCTGTCTAAGTGGACAATAAAGGGGCGGCGTATTTGCTGTGAGGGGCGCGGCAAGCCGCGCGCTGTGTGCTGCGCGCAACTACCGGGGCCGCATGTCAGTCTAGTGGCGCCACCTCTTG